GCAGCAAAATTACAGAGAAAGTGGAGGGGCCGGGCCTCCACCCAGGCGTCGCTGGCTGCGAACGCTCTCCGGCCCGAGGGAACCCAGCAGGAGCCGTTATGAAAGCGGCTCTCTGCAGCCGGCGACGCCTGGGTCCAACCAGCGTTGCTGGGGGTGGTGGGGGCGCTCACAGGGGTGATGGCGCAGACGCTGGCGAGTGCTGACATGAAGGGCAGTAAATCGGGCCGGGGAACATCGGGTGCCCCGGGGAGCTTGGAGGACAATGGCGCCTTCCATTCCGGCTGGAAGCGGGGAGGGAGCTGTGGTCGGGGCGAGCTGCCGCCTCATCCTGCTCCTGGAAGTGGAGAACGACCTTGCGCGTAGGGGCGCGTGACCAGGGTCCAGAGCCTTCCCCTGTGGAGTCTCAGGTGCAGCGTGGCCCTAGGAATCGTTATCCTCTTTGGGGGCTTTCTGCTGGCCTCTGACTCCAGCAGAAGGGCCGGCGCAGGTCGAGGAGAAGACCTGGCTTCTAGCTCCATTGCTGGGGGGCTGGACAGGAGAGTTGATGCAAAGTCCTACAGGGCTTGGTTGTGGCTTTGGTCATGTGTTCTTTGAGGAAGGGCACCCGCATCACCAGCTCACCTGGTCTTCAGTAGCCCCCTTGCTTGGCAGCCTCAACAGAGAATCCAAGGACTTAAATTGCAGCCAGGGAGGTTTAGGTTGGACATCAGGGAAAACTTCCTGCCTGTCAGGGTGGTTAAACCCTGGAATAATTTGCCCAAGGAGGTTGTGGAATCTCCATCACTGGATGTCTAAGAACAGCTAGACAAACACCTGTCAGGGATGGTCTAGATCGGGGTGGCTAACCCATTAAACAAAGAGAGCCAAAACAGCAGTGGAAAAATGGAAAGAGCTGCACCAGAATTATTGAGGAAAAAAAATAAGGAAGAGCTCCCTATCAGCCAGAGTTGTTGGGGGAAAAAAAAAAAGGATGCTGCCCCTTTAAAAACCACGGGTTAGGCTTTTTGGCCACATCAGGCTCCTGCTGGCCGACGCCATCTTGCCAACACCATTTTGCCGTACTGGATGGCTGCCCTGTACCCGGTGAGCACAGGGAGCCGGGGGTCGTTTGTAGGGGCGCACGGGGAGGCTTTGCGATCCGCACTTTCAGGGGTAAAGAGCCGCATGCGCCTTGCGAGCCACAACTTGGCCACCCCTGGTCTAGATGGTGCCTGGTCTTGTCATAAGAGCAGGGGACTGGACTCGATGACCTCTCGAGGTCCCTTCCAGTTCTAGTGTTCTATGATTCTCAGCAGGGAAGGCAGGAGGACACAGCAACCTTGGCAAGGGATGAAAGTGAATCCAGAGAGAGACACAATAGAAATATTTTGACCGCACAGAGAAGATGAATAGGAGTGAAGGAAAATAAAGGCAGTGCAGTGATCTGAGGATGCTGCGGCACTCTAGACATGTGGGCCTGCCCAGCCTGCCAGCAGCTCCCCTGGGTGGGCCCGCGACCCGATCATGTGAGGGTTTGGGTCAGGAAGTCCATTTGCCCCAGCTGCGGATCCGGCCCTGCATTTTAAGCCAGCCTCCACTTCTCTGTCCATGGGGCGTGAGTTCTGCGTGCAGGCTTTTCACTGGGAAAGCTCCCATGGGGACCAGAGAGTTGGGTGTCTCCGTTCCAGTCCAGCCATGGGACTTGCCCAGCCCGTGACACCCGGGACAAGCTGATCCCAACGTGTCTTGCCAGATCCCGGGTTGCTCTGGGCCGCCCCGTGTTCTGTTTCCCGTCGCCGTGGGGTGTCTAGAGACTTGACCACGTCCCCTCTAAACCCAGCCTCCCGCAGCGTCTGTGATGCGTGCGACGACCCAGCCTTCTGCTCAGTCGGGACGCCACAGACGCGGGCAGTGGCCGAGGGAAGGAAGGAGGCTTGGAAGGACGGTCCCCCCGCAGAGAGCTCTCCTTGCGGGTATGAGCCTGGCCACCAGGCCTGTGCCAGGAAAGAGATGTGCAGGGGCGTTCCCCAGGCTCGGTGCGTTTCATTGCCAGAGTAGGTTTAAAGAGTTTTGCAGGAGCTTGCCCTCCGGAGGCCAGTGTTTCCCAGGTAACCTCGCAGAGCCGGGCTTCCTCAGGGCATCTTGCTGCAGTCTCATAGCAACATCTAACCTCTGGAGTGTGTTAGAGGCGCTCCTTTGGCCGATCTCAACGCATACCCTAGCTGGGCAGCTGTCTGCGCCGGGAGGTGCAGCTCTGCTGGGGTGGCTAGAGCAGGGGCCTGACAGTCAGAGGTTCCAGGGTTTGATCCCTTGCTCAGCTGCAAGCAGCACCCATTATTGCCGAGTGCCTCAGTTTTTCCATCTGCCAAATGGGTATAATCCTTAGTTGCCTTCTGTGGGGGTGTTTGCTCTGAGACCCTCTGATAACAGGTGCTGGAGACATGCACTTCTGGTGTTTGCACTCAGGATCCACGCTGCCAGAGGGGAAAATGGGCTATCTGGGGCACTTGGCATGAGATCCCCTCCCTTCCCCAGTGCCCTCTGCCCACAGGAGTGTCCATCCCAGCTTGAGGCTCAAGGCCTCACTGGGATGACGCGAAGCTCAGACAGGTTCAGCGTCCCTCTCCAGCTGGGCTCCGGGAAATTACTTGGCAGCCTTTTCAAAGGTGACACGGCTGCCAAGGGAACAGATCCAGTCACGCAGAGACAGATGGACCGGCTGCACCTGCTCCCCCCCGTTACTGCCCCTGGTGGCAGAGACGGCAGATGAGTTTGTTGAACGGAGGGAGCAGGGGAAAGGAGGAGAAGAACTGGGCGGGAGTGTTTGGGTTTCCGGTCTCGTTGGGGTCCGGATGCTGCAGAGCCTCTGGCAGCGCCCTGCCATCACAGGGCAGAACAACGCGCGTGCCTTTCCTGTGCCCCGTTTCCCCCCCGTGGCTGTGCTCTTCCGCTCCGCCGCCGGCTCTTCCCAGCCATCCCTGCCTCTCTTTGGGAAGGGCCTGCTGGGCGATGTTGCAGAGAGGAGCAACTTAATGGTCTTTAAAAGGGAATTGGGAGTCTGGCCTAGGGACTGGGATCAGCCCACGCCGCTTGTCCACCTGGCTTGTCCTCCCCTGGGGGCTGCACCAAGCTTGTTGCCTTCCAGACATGGACGTGCTGCCGGGGGGCAGGAGAGATTCCGTGGTGTTGTTCTGTGCCATCGTGCGGCATATCATAGAATTTCAGAACTGGAAGGGATCTCGAGAGGTCATCAAGTCCAGGCCCCTGCCTTCACGGCAGGACTATGTACCATCTAGACCTAGGGTTACCAGGTAGACCCCCCCCAAAATACCGGACACACTTGATCGAGGGCAGGCGAGAGGGAGGGACTGGCTGGGAGGGAGGTGGAGCCTAGGGTTACCAGGTAGACCCCCCCCAAAATACCGGACACACTTGATCGAGGGCAGGCGAGGGGGGGGGGAGGTGTCAGGGGCCACAGGGCTTCCCTGGAGCACTGGGGACAGATTCTGCTCTCAGAGGGTGACCTGCACCCAGTCTAAAGATACAAAAATGTGAGGTCAAGGCAGGTTGTACTCCGAGCTTGTCAACGGACCTGCTGCATGACTAATAAGCGAAAGTTCTTCTTCACACAGCGCACAGTCAACCTGTGGAACTCCTTGCCAGAGGAGGCTGTGAAGGCTAGGACTATAATAGAGTTTAAAGAGAAGCTAGATAATTTCATGGAGGTTAGGTCAGGGGAGAGAAATGGTGTCCTTGGCCTCTGTTTGTCAGAGGCTGGAGAGGGATGGCATGAGACAAATTGCTTGATCATTGTCTTCGGTCACCCTCTCTGGGGCACCTGGTGCTGGCCACTGTCAGCAGACAGGCTACTGGGCTAGATGGACCTTTGGTCTGACCCAGTACAGCCATTTTTATGTTCTTATGACCTTGGCTAAGGCACTTGTGTGCCCTGCCTCAGTTTCCCCAACTGTAAAAGGAAGCTGGTGCCCAGCTGCCTATCGAGGGTGTTGTACGAGGCTGAATGAACGATTGTTGCTAGAGTGTTTTGAGATCCTCGGCTGAAAGTAGCACTGGGAGGAGAGCGTGCTAGTGAGGAGTTACATGCTGTGGGAAGGTGCTGAGTCTGGCTGGAGTAGGGTCGGCAATGGGGCAGGAAGGGGGGAGCACATGGGTGAGTGACAGGCCTGATGGTGGCAGGTGTTCGGCACCTTTTTCTCTCCACGGGAATGGAGGCCCACGAGCGCCTGGCCGGATAACGATAAGTAATCCCAAGCTGTTCTAGAGCGCTTGTCATCTGCAGATCGGCAAGCACGTCACCCTGGCGGTCAGTATCATTAGCTTCGCTTTACAGCTGGGGAAACTGAGGCCAAGAGACATCAACCCACTTGGCCAAGGCGCCCCAACAGGCCAGCCCCAGAGCTGGGAACTCACGTTTCCTGAGTTCCACAACAGAGCGTTAGCCACTAGACAACGCTGCCTCCTCGTTAGGATAAGAGCCCTCTCTCTTTTCCTCCAAACGGGCCCAAAATGGGGAAGTGGCATTTGGGGCTTCTCTTGGTGTTGCCCGCACAGCTCTGCCCAGGAGGGGGCGCTACAAGGGCAGGAAGGACAGGCCAGTCCCTGGTTAATGCCAAGCGGGCTGTGGCTGGCAGAAGCAGACTGAGACCTCCAGCTCCCCCTAAACAGGCCTGTGGGAGGGATAGCTCAGTGGTTTGAGCACTGGCCTACTAAACCCAGCGTTGTGAGTTCAATCCTTAAGGGGGCCAGTTAGGGATCTGGGGCAAATCTGCTAGGGATGGTACTTGGTCCTGCTGTGAGGGCAGGGGAGTGGGCTTGATGACCTCTCGGGGTCCCTTCCAGCTCTATGAGCGAGGTCTATCTCCATCTCTTTTCTTTCCAGTTGGCTGCTTGGAAGAAAGGATTGAGCTCCGTTGTCTCCGTTCCCGGTTCTCCGGGGGATGGCAGGGCCTTCCTGGAACCCCCTCCCCCCCCAAACGCCCTGTCCTTTGTTTCACATGCAGACGGATCTGTACTCGGGGGCCCTGTTTGTGCAAGTCTGCCTGGGCTGGAACCTCTACCTCTCCACCGTCCTGATGCTGGGGGTCACCGCCCTCTACACCATCGCTGGTACGTCGCGCCGGGTCGGAGAGGAGGCACTCGGAGGCTGGTGCTCTGTTGGGTGGCCAGCCCTTGGGTTCCACGTCTAGCTACTGAGCTACAGCTCAGCTCATTGGCTGGGGATTCCCTGCCTACATCGAGATGCTGCCTGTGAACCTGTTGGGGCAGCTTCTATGTACGTGGCCCAGAGAAGGCGGCAGGGCTGTTTGGCTGATGGCTGCAAGGCTGGCGCACGACATTTTGGCACCTGAGGCGGGGAGCTCAAATGACGCCCCCTGCCCCCGCACTTGGGCCAAAACGTTGAAAGGTCTCAATTCTGCCTTCTTCCTGGTCTACTCCTCTCCTGGCCCTGCTCTGCTCCCTACATAGGCACCAGCAGCAGACACAATGTTCTACACTCTGGGTCCTAGTGGCCCCCCCCACAGTCTGGCACCTGAGGCGGCTGCCTCAGTTTGCCTCATGGTAGGGCTAGCACTGGATGGCTACGTGAGTGGGCTGATTTGCAGTAACTTCCTCCCTCTCCAGAATGGGCTTTGGATTCTCTTGTGCATAGGCACGTGTGCTAACCTGCGCACCAATGTTCTCTCTAGTCTTTTCCATCCGTGTGCAGTTTTTTCCTCATCCATGTGTGGAATAATTTGATGTGCACTAATGCAGATGCAGATGTGCACCACCCGTAGAAAAATAAAACCTAGCTATGGGAGCTCTCCTCATCGGCTGGGCAGTATATGAATTTCTCCTGAGTGGCCTCACAAGCGCACGGCTTCTTACAGGGAACACTGGTGCGCACACATGCGTGCCTGTTAATGATGGCCATCCTTCTGACATCCCCACTTTGTGACCATTCTGAAGGTCTAACACTTGTCAGAAGGGCCTCAGCTAACATTTCCCCACCAACTTCCCTGCTTAGCCTAATCCTTAGTGCTCTTCGGCCTCAAAGAACCCAGCTATCAGCTCCTTCATCCTCTAACCAGGTCACCCTGTTTTCTGGGTGGACTGACTCGTGTGCTTCTCCCAATCACTCTTAGCCAGCGAGGCTCAGAGCTGGGAGTAAAATTCACAAGTTCCTGCCTTTCACCCCACACTCAAATCACTGGACCCCCTATTCTTGGCAGGCCCCAGGAGCGGATATGCCCTTCATGGTCAGTGCTAGGGGAGAAAGTTTGGCCCAACTTCTTCCCCTCTCCATCCAAGCGATGCATCTCTCCACTGCACTGGGAGGTCATTGTGACTCGCTGGTCTCCAATCGTGCTCCTGTGATTGTCGCTGTACGGTGTTAGCTCTGTGAGCTCCGGGAACGGGAGGCGTTACCGAGCCATGGAACCAGGAGATCGTCTCTTAACATCCGTGTAATCTAAGCGGATGTTTCGGGTTACGTGAAACCCACACGCTCTTGGCCGCGAGTCAATAGCTCCCAGCCCTTCACAACGTGGCCCCCTTGGTATTCCACTGCTGCCAGGTCTCGTTCGGTGAGCAGGCTGGGCTCCGGCACCGGGGTCGAGGGGTTGTTTGGTAAAGAGGCTGAGCTAGGGCTGGTGCACCGTGCCCGGCATGGCGAGGGCTAATGGGGGACCGGCTGAGAGGGCAAGGATCGGATGGGTGTGAACAGGAGCGCAGATAGCCTCTGCAGGCAAGGTGGGCGGGGCCCTGCTCAGTGAAGGCGGGGCTTCGGGTGAAAGGCGGGGCTGGGCCAGCCAGCCCAGACCCCCGCCCAGACCCCAGCATGCCCCTCCCCCGGCGGCTCTCACAGCTGCCTGGAGCAGGAGGTGTGGCGCTCGAGCGGCAATTTAAAGACCGCAGGGAGAGCCCATGGCAGCGGCTGGGAACCTGGGGCCCTTTTGAGTCGCTAGACCCTGGAGCAACTGCCACCTCCGCACACACAGACGCACACCCGTCAGCGGGCCTGGGTGTGAACACCAGGGAGGGGGTGGAATGGCTCTGGAAGGATGAGGCAGGAGTGTGAGGGGCAATGGGATGAGAGGAGGAGGGAGGGATCCGTTTCCTGGCAGTGCTCTCTCCGGCTGGCAGGGGGCCCACAGCTAGTTCAGGAAACCCCTTTGCTGCCTTCGTTAAAATCAGAGCAACGCACGAAGGAATTCTTGTAGGCGTCCCCGTTGTGCCTCCGCGCCTTGGCCATGGCCGCGCACGCTCCTCTGACTGGTGGCCACTGCTCGCCCTGCCCCGTGCAGTAACCGTTGGGAGAGGCTCTGATGGCCCCAGACTCCACTGTGCTCGGTGCTGTACAAGCCCCGCAGAGGAGAGATGGAGCAGGCAGTCGTCCCCGGGGAAGGAGGCTGGGCCAGCTGACCGAGCTGACTGGCTTCGTCCCCACCAGCTGCCCGTCGGGGTGCAAAGTGAAGACAGATGAGCAGGCTGGACAGGGGCCGTGGTGCTCGTGAGCGCACGACTGTGCGGCCGTGGCGTGCCTCCTGTGCAGGGGCACGGGAACATGGGGCTGAGTGCTTCCTTGTGCTGCTCTCGCTTCAGCTCCCCCCGCCGCCTCCTCTCCCTTTGATCCAGTGCGCTCGGGACTCCTGCTCGGGCAAGACCCAGTGCTCAGCACTATGCCTTCCCCTGCGCTCACAGTGGGCCCGGGCGTGTCGCAGGCAGGGGCTGCTCCGGGCAACTGGAGCATCGCCTGTCTGCAGCTGGCCCAGATGTGCCCATCACAGGGGGGGCTCCTCCAGCCTCCTTTTAATCAATTAACTGGGTAAACATGAAGTTTAATGGTTAGCCAATGAAACGGGACTTTACATCCCTACGATGCACCAGACCTGTGGCCCCAGCCCACCCACCGGGGGGGAGGGGTGGGGAACACAGCCGGCTACAGAGCTGGCCTCCCTGTTGCATCTGGCTGGAAGCGTTTCCAGGCTCGCTTAGCTGGGATCAATAACCGACAGACACGTTGCCAGGTGAACGGTTGGGTTTATTGCTGACGGGACCCCAGAGCCCAGCCCGGTGCCGACTGACACCCCGACGCTGTTGTGTCTCCTTCCCGTCTCACGCAGGGGGGCTGGCAGCTGTGATCTACACGGACGCGCTGCAGACACTCATCATGGTCCTTGGCGCCGTGATCCTCGCGGTAAGAGGTAAGGCCGGGGAGCTGCGCAAACGCACCCCTCCAAGGAGACCTCCAACTCGAGCAGTCTTAAAAGGAAATTAAAACACCCGAGCCGAGCGACTGAAATGCCAAGGCCTTTAGGGCGAGCTTCTCGGCTCTGCAGGCGGCCGGCAAAAGCCTGCGCCACTTACGCCCCTCTCGGCCACATCCCCGTGGGAGAGGGCTCCGTGATGCACAGACTTCGTGCTGGGTCTGCGCGGGGTCGGCTCCCCCTCTAGTGCCTTTCCTGCCTCATTGTTCTATGCGGCGGGCTCACGGTGCCCATGGGATCGATATAGGGTGACAGGCTGGTTAGGCAATTGGCTGTGTGCAAGGGGCCAGGGAGCAGGAACTGGCACTGGGGCTTCTCTTCCCATCCCGCGGGTCTCCCCATGCTTTGATCTGATTTCCTTCCCGGGCGTGTCCAGGCACTCCCCACCGGAGCTCCTGCGTGAACGTAGCTTTGAGCTAGGGAATTTCTCCTCCTCCTTGTACGGACCGGGCACTTAGGCGCAGAAGGTGCAAGGCCCGAGTTTCACAGCTACAGTGGGCTGCCCGGCGAACGTATAACGGCACAGCTACCTCGTGTGAAAAATCCACACCCTGGGAGATGTGGCTTTGCTGCCCCCCAACCGCCGGCCTAGAGAGCGCTAGGGTGATAGAAGAATGCTTCTGTCGGGTCTCTGCCGCTTCTCGGGTGGATGGGTTGCCTGCGCTGCCGGGAAACTCCCCTTGTGGCTGTAGCGAGCATCTACCTGACAGGCCATCGAGCAAAGGGGGAAGTTGCCCCATGGCCCGGTGATTCAAAAAAGGCCTGGGACGCGTGGCTGTCGCAGCCAGAGTCCCGGGCCCTTTAAATCGCCGCTGGAGTCCAGCGTAGCACGCTCCAGGCAGCTCCAGAGCTGCCTGGGGGAAGCTAGCCCTAGCCCCGCCCCTTCCACCCAAGGCTCCGCCCCCCAGCCCAGGGGCCCGCTGCTCCCTTGTGCTGCTGTGGCTGTCGGAGTGCACATGCCCTAACTCCGGAGTTAGCTGCGTCTACACTGCAAAAGAGCCCCGTGGCCAAGCGTCTCGGAGCCTGACTCATTGGCCGGATGTCAGAGGGGCTGGGTGCCAGCTGCTCCCAGCAAAGTCAGTTTCGGCGCCGAAGCTTGACCGCCATCGGCCTACGTGACGTACTCCAGATAACATGGGGGGGGGCACCTCAGCACCTCTTTGGGGGGAGGGGCACGAGGACGCCGTGCATCGACAGACGTCGAATCAAAGGCAAACAGCCAACGCCTAGAGTGTACAAATACAGCCCCTCCCCCCCAGGAACCAGACCAGAACCAAAGACCGGACCCTAATGGAGCCTCGGGGATGCCGGTATTTCGGCCGAGGGCTGCACTTCGTGCCGGGGACCGAGAAGAGCGAACGAAAGGCCCTTGCCCACGCCTGGGTCCTGCCACAGGGCTGAGCAGGAGGCGCTTGTGGGGGATCGGCTGGCAAGCTGGCTGTTGTGCAGGGCAGCGAGGGAGGGGCGTGAAGACGTTGTGCTCGAGTTCACCGTTCGCTCAGGCGGGGCTGTCGCGTCCAAATGCCTCTGTGTTGCCCTCTAGTGGCCGGAGCGCGCCTGCGGGAGAGGGATGTGGACGGGGAACCCGTTCCCTGGGCCGCATCACTAGGGATGCTGAAAAGCGGTGAATTAAATAAACGTGTGACCACTGAAAATGTCAAGGCATTGACACGCGGGGGCAGTCGGCTTCCCGGGAGCCGAGGCGTGTGCTGGGAGGCTGCGTGTACAGGGTTACACTTCCACCTCCCTAAGCATCACCCTTATCGAGTGATGCTTACCGGGTACCGGTTAACCAGCGCCTGGGAGCAGCCCCCTGCCTATGGCAGTACCAGCTTTGGGACCAGATCCTGGCGTATTTTTGCCGCTGGTGGCAGCAGCCCCAGCTCCAGGGCTGGCTCCCGCTTAGTCGGTTAACTGATTCGTCGGGATTTTATATCCCTAATATGCAGGGCCGCCCAGTGGATTCAGGGTGCCAGGGGCAAAGCAATTTTGGGGGCCCCTTCCTGGCACTCCCTGTCTCAGACCTCAGGCATTCTCGTGGGGGCCCCTATGGGGCCTGGGGTCTGGGGCAAATTGCCCCACTTGCCCCCCTTCTGGGCCGCCCTGCTAATATGGGGGTGGATCTCCAGCTACTGCCAAAAATACGAAACAGCTCTTCAATTGAGATCACAAGCTCTATTCGTGCTGACTGCTCATCCGGGCCTGACCTTGCAGAACTACTCAACAGTGCAGTATCTGGAAGAGCAGCCTCAAGTCACTGAATCGTGGTGAGAAGCCTAGCAATGGGTTCACAGAGCCTAACCAACAGAGTGACCTCTCGCTGGCTGGCTACAAAGACTGAGCAAGGTCCAGACCGTTGGGAGAACTGGGCGATGAGTTGTTGCCTGCGATTTCTGACAGTTGAAATGTGCAGGTCACCTGGAACATTTTGTGGACCCCCCCTGTCAATTTTGGTTAAAAAAAAATCAAATGAAACCCGACGCCCCTAAAAACAATTCCAAACTCTTGGAAATGAAACATTTGCATCTTTGCAGAAAGAAAGGCTTCAGTTTTGGAGGCTGAAATGACTTTTGGGTTCTGGAATTTCGTCCTCCCCCAATTTTGATTACCTTCCCCTCCCCCATGTTATTTAAAAAGGCAAAAATGTAAAAAAAAAACAAAAACAAAAAACATTTGAAATTGAATCAAAATCTGTCGGTTATGAAACAATGTTTGGAGCTGCCAGCAAACGGCCCCCCTGCTCTAGCTGGGGTACAATCAATCAGACCATTCTGGGGCTGAGCTGGGGTTCCCCTATCCGGCATTAGCCCCCGCTCTCACAAATGCGTGCGCACTTTTGTGTGTTCGCTCAGTCCCTGCAGCACTGATGCAAAAAGCCCTCCTCCCAGGCCTGGGGTGGAAGGGACATACCATCGCACACACGCCCTGTTGTTGTGGCTCATGGCTGGTTACCATGGCAAGCCATTGAAATCACAGCCAAAATCGCTGGTTCCTTGTGGCTGGGATTAATCCTCTAGTGAGGTCACTGCGTATTAATGAGGCAGCGATGGGACAAATTCTTGGCAGGCCTCTTTTACCTGCAACATCCTTTGTTGGTCCAGGCCTCCTGGGTGTGCAAATGCCAGGGTGGCTGCCTGCCTTTGGAAACAGGGCAGGCCCCGGAGCTCTCGACTGATTCAGCATTCGCTGCCTGTCCTTGTTCGAGAGCATTTATTGTTGCTTCCCTCCACCCAGGCCTTTGGCTCACCCACACTGGGATTAGCCAGGTGTGGGCGTGTAGCCACCTCCCTGTTCATAAGAGCAGGGGGAGTTTACAGACAGGGATCCTCTCCCAAATCCGCGGGGCCTGTTTCTCAAGTGGTGTGTGGCTGCGAGACGGCTCAGGAGGTCAGCCCCAGCGTCCCGTCCGCCCGTCTGCTCCCGCGGAGGGCCGGGGACCTCTGCCTGGGTTGCTGAAGGCCTTCGCTCACAGGGCCTCGTGTCGAGGGACTGGAACAGGATGGCCCCGGGGGGAGGGGAGTCGTGTGCGTTTCGGGGCGAACATGAGCCGGCTCTCAGACCTCTGCGATGGGGGGCTGTTGTCCTTGGCCCGTGACCGCTGACAAAATGGAGCCGTGCACTTTATAAGGGCGTTGGGCCAGGCTCCTCTCAGGGCGTGGGGGCCCATGTCAGTGCCTGCCCGGCGTGTGGGGGGGACGAAGAGAAGGCGGATGCTTTCCTAGAAGAGCTGCTCCCGCTCAAACAGGCCGGAGCCCGGGGAAGGGCTGTGCTGTGTCCGGGAGGGACAGGGGGAGCCACAGCGAGCCGTCCCGCCCTGGAAGCCATGAATGGCGTCTGGGCCGGGGCTGCCACGCTACTGGAGGGTAAATGCTCAGTCAGAAATTCCCAGCCATGGGTGCCTGAGCGTGGCGGCACCTGGCCTAGGAGGCTGTAGATTCGGACACAAATCCCCAGCAGGCTGGCACATGCATAGGGCAGATGGGGGGCCTGTTGCCTGGCCCCGGGGTTTGGCCTGGGCCCAGCAGAGCACGACCTGGGCATTGGGTTCTCATGGGCTGCCCTGGTAATTCTCTCCGCTGCCAGCCGCTGTGACAGGCCCTAGCTGGGGCTGCCTCCCGGCTGCATTCGCACTGCTCCCAAATGGGCACCTCCAAGCGGTGCCGTCATGCCAGAGTCAAGAGGGCGCCAGCGCTGGCACGGACCCCTTCAGAGGGCACAGGAAGAAGGGGTGCAGGTGGGGGAGGGTCCGTACTGATTTGGCCACCCCACAAATCTAACTTTCTGCTAACGCTAGGGCGATGAGAGTTGACCCAGATGTGGGAGTCGGAACAGGGTGTGTCAGATCTGGGGGGGAGGGGCAAGTTTCGATGCCCCCCGACTTGTGACGCTCCCCCAGGCACCGATCGCGTTGCTAGTCGGGGGCCGCCTGTGTTTCGGGAGCAATTTTTTCCAAGTCATTTTTTTGGAAATAACCTGGTAGTACTGACAGAGCCGTGGGCAGCTGGGTGTCCCGCGAGCTCCTTGTGCCGCGAGGCGCGTCACCCCTGCAGAAGCTGGAGGGGCTGGGAGTGGAAGGGTGGTCCTGAAAGTGGCGCGCTATCATCCGGGGGCTCCTCTGGGAGCTTGTGATCATTTGGGGAGGGGGTGGGAAGGGTGGGGGAGCTAGAACGACGTTTCTTGCACTTTCACCCCGGAGACCGCTGCGCTCCGGAGAGATGCCATTGCAAAGGTGCATGGATGCTGCAGCCAGAGGTGCCTGCAGAATGTCTAGCCATGCCCACGCTCCTGCCCTAGGAGCAGTACACTCCGGACGCTCCAGGACCTTCCCAGCATCCCTGGCGGGCTTGGCCAGCCCACGTGAGCTAGATCGAAGCGAGCTCAGGGATGTCTGCACGTGCTGCAGCCAGAGCGCCGCTTGCAGGGTAGACGTACCCTAAGGAAACCTGGAGAAGCAAATCGGTATTGCACTTGTGTCTAGGTGCCCAGAGACTGTGTGGGGCTGAGAGGGCAGCCAGGTCAGTACTTAGATAGAAAGTGGTCTGACTCCTGAGCAGCGTTCCTGTTCATTTTTTTCCCCCTCCATGAGTGGAATGAATTTTGTTCTGTGCACCAAGGCAGGTGCGGATGTGCACCACCAGTAGAAACACATGATGCCGGTTGTGGTAATCAGCTGGGCAGCACCTGACTCTCACTTGGGTGACCCCCCCAGGCGCTCAGCTTACAGGGAACACTGCTCCAGAGCCAAAGCATGGACCCTCCCCTCCGCACCATCGCGAATCAAGTCAGCTGCTGCTTCTGCTGGTCGCATGTTGCACTTAAATAAGAGCGTGCTGCTGCCTGGAGACCTTGGTGCTTTAATACAAATGCCTCGTTTGAAGTACAAACTCCAGGGAGGGAGCATCCCGAGAGGATCCTGGCTCCAGGCCCCGGGATGCACCCCCCGTGGGGAGCAGGACTCTACCAGGCCCCACTGTGCAAAACACCAGCTGACGTGTCTCTTAAATGAGACTAAAATTCCATCGTGATGTGGGGTGGGTCGTTCCCTGGCCCTGCGGGCGGGGTGGGCGGGAAGGTTCCGCCTGGGAAGGTCGCTGGGGGCTTTCCCCAGCTGATGGGCTCGAATGTCAATGCTCTAAACAGCCTCCCCTCCCCGTCCCCTTCCAGCGTTTAACCATATCGGAGGGTACCAGAACCTGGAAGAGGCGTATTTAAAGGCTGTTCCGGCCAAAATCATCCCCAACATGACATGCCACCTGCCCCGAGCGGACGCTATGCACCTCTTCCGAGATCCCGTCTCCGGAGACCTCCCCTGGCCCGGCATGACTTTCGGGCTGTCCGTCTTGGCCACGTGGTACTGGTGCACCGACCAGGTAAACGTGACCGTGTTCCCCCTCCCTTGCAGAATTGCACCTCCCCGCTCCGTGGTCTCGGAATACTTGCAGTCCACCGGCTTCGGCGCCTACTGCTCCTTGCGGCTGGCAGCTCCGGGGAGCCTCCGTTTGGAGTCGGCGGGAACCTGCTGGCCTCCCCCCACCTTGCTTTTGAGGTGCTTGGACTGGGAGAGCTTGGTGAGCGGGATGCCGAGGGGCGTCCTCACTTCGGCCGCTGTCCTCTGGCTTTCTGGGAGGGAGATTAAGGGTTTGCCGGTTGCTCTGCTATTGCCTTGTGAGAGGTGTCCGGGTGGCACGTCCCTGGGGGAACTGAACCCTTTGCTTTGCCAGTACGGCGGGGGGCTGAGGGCTGCGGTGGGTCTTTTAGCACTGGTTCCGTCTGTCTTGTATTTGCTGGGCCCTGGAGTTTTCTCGCGCCTGGGGGTATGGATGCAAACTTTGCTTGGGCCTGTGCATGTATGGGTCCTGGTTCCACAGTGGTGGAATGGCCGACCCTGTTGGATAAAGACAAGAGAAGAGAATAAAGGTTTCAGGAAGAACTGAGCCCGGCTCTGCAACCTTGGGCCAGTCCCTTTGCCATTCCCCAGCTGCAATTCTCTTTCGGGTTGGAGGACAGAAACCCCCAAGAGAAAGAACTAAGCCTGTCATAGTTTGCCCCCTGTGTCCCCCAGAAATTCACAGCATCACCTAGGTCTCCAGAGATACCTCAGTGCTTTGCCTCTGTACAGTCACCTGAACACCCCGGTGACCCTCTGCATGCCTGCTACCCGCTGGCTTAAGGCAAGGTCCAAGCAGCTGCAGATCCAGGCTCTGAGCCTGGAGGGGCCCACGGACCCGCACAGCTGGGAGCCGTGGATGTGAGTGGTGGGGAAGATGCTATCTGAGGCTGAGCAGGGGGTGACATAGGTGGGGCAGGGAGCCAGTAGCACTGTAGCTAGCATCGGAGGCTTGATTAGTTTACTGGATCTGGTCCCGGCTGTCTTAATCCCTCCCTTAGATGGGATATTTGTCTCCCTCTGTTAGCTGCTTAAATACCCTGGACAGTGCCTTTTCGCCCCCTCCTTTGTCGTGGGCTCTGAGGCCAATCCGCAAAATGGGTCATGCAAAAGCCTGATTGGGGGAGGGCTGTGAACATGTTGAGATGTCCCATGAGAAGAGCAAATATTTAGCAGATGCACAATTCCTAGGGAGCCGGGCAAGGCGCCTTGCGTCTTTGCACCACGCCTTGCTGGCAAACAGGCTCCGAGCCACAGCGGCGTTGCTGACAAGCACGCTGGCAATCCGGGTGGCTGTAGTTCTGGGCCTGCCTCTCTGGGCCTCCTTCCTGAGCTCTGATGGGCTGCACTGGGCGAAGGACGCAAAGCTCCGACATCCTGCTTTCTAGACGGGGAATCGAGGCCCAGCGAGATTAAGTGACTTGCTCAAGGTCTCGCGGAGTCTGTGTTAGAGCCAGAACTTGACGCTGGGTCTCCCCAGGCCCTGTTTGGCACCCTAACCACTGGTCCGTCCTTCCTCTCTAAAGGCTTTGTGTGAGTGGTTCCTGCCGCAGAGAATGCTTGTGGGGTGGCCAGGCACCTCCTCATTACCCCCTGCCTGCCCGTGGGCCAGCCACCAGGGATCAGCCTGGATTAGGTTCCTGGCCGGTTCTCACGCTGTGTTGCTGTGATTCAGCCTGCAACTTCCTCTGAGTCCCAGCAACGGGGGCGCGGGAGCAGCCGCTACATTCAGCACCTTTCCCTGCGTATCAGACAGATGGACAGGCCAGAAAACAGCCACTGCCTAGGGAGTGTGTGGAATCTCCATCACTGGAGATATTCAAGAGCAGGTTAGACAGACACCTGTCAGGGATGATCTAGCTCAGTGTTTCTTAAACTTTTTAAGACCGAGGAACACCAAACAATAATTTTTTTTTATCAGGAATACCATGAATTTTTTGTTGAGAGGAAAAAAAAAGGTTGGGGGGAAAGTTATTGAGCAGAAAAAAAAAAGGTCGCCTGCCTCTTTAAGGGCTGCCATTTTGAACTCTGTTGTTCTCCGCGGCACACCTCCGACTGCCTCATGGAACACAGTTTAAGAAACACTGATCTAGACGGTGCTTGGTCCTGCCGTGAGGGCAGGGGACTGGACTTGATGACTCTTAGGGTCCCTTCCAGTTCTAGTGTTCTAGGGTTCTATGCTTGCCTGGGTCAGTTGGTCTCTAGGGTCAGCAGGCCTGAAGCTCCCTCCGGTGCAATTTCATCGGTGTCTGCAGAGGTGCCCGGGGGAGGGGAGTGAGCAGTAGAGCAATGGTGGCAGCTGCAGGCTGCCTGCTCATTGCAGCCCTAGATGGGATGAGTAAGGCCGCAGTGGCCTGCAAGCCTGGCCTGTCTAACGGGGGACGAGGCTGCCGCCCCTGCCAGAGAGATGCTGCTCCTTGGGGTGGTCATGTATTCCAGCCCCAAGACTACGCCCCGCGCTCGGCACCTCTGCACCAGCAGCTGAGTAAGCCAGAGGGGCGCTGTGCCCCTGGGGGGGGAAGCCCGGGGATGGGGGAGGCTGTTTAGCTCCTCCTCTGATGTGGCTGGTTTAAGAGAGGCTCCGAATCTGGCCCTGCCGTCAGTAGGAGAAGTGTGGCTCCGGCAGAGGCCTGAGAAATCGGCTGCTTTGGTCTGCACCATTGGCTTTGCTATGGAGTTGCGCAGGTGCCTGCCTCGGTTTCCCCCTCTGGGAAATGGAGGCAGTAAAGCAACAGCCCGGGGCTCTGGCGCTTTGGGACCGCACTGTCATGCCTCGCATGCTGCGGGAATGCGCTGTCAAAGCCCCTCTTCCGCTCGCAGCCCCTGCCCCTCTCTGCTCCTTGGAGACGGCTCGCCCACGGCCCCTCAGCCTGCTCCTTGGAACGGCACAGAGAGGCCCAGCCTGCAAAGCATGATGGGCACGTGATGCAGTGCGCACCGGGGGCCAGGGGCTGTTGCTGCAGGGTTGGATGGCTCTGCTGTCGTGTGCTGTCTAGGGACTCTGGAATTTAATTGTGCGGGGAGAGAAAAGGCTTCTTCATTTTAGGACAGAGGGCGCAGGGCAATGGGTGGGGGGCCAGGGCAGGGCGGGCGGTGGGGGGCCGGGGGGAATGGGGAGGTGGAGGGGGGGGAGGGCCAGAGGAGGCAGAAGGGGTCAGTGGGAACAGGAATGTGCCACACTGAATTGAGGCTTTAACAATGCCTCACGTTCTCCCTCAACTTCTCCCGTCTTACTGGGAACAAACGAACCGGGGCGCGTCACCAAGCAGCGCTCCCACGCTGCCAAACCGAGCGGTGCCACTGCCGGGCTGCGGCCCGCAGAGGCGCCGCATCCCAGCATGCAATGCTCTCACCTCAGCCCAGGGGAGGGCAAGGCAGAATTTTTGCACGCACGGAGCTGGGGTCTCCAGAGTGGGAAGTCGGACTAAGACCGGTGGGTGGAATAACACCGGTGGGTCTTGCGGGGAATGGAACTGCTGCCCGGCAGGATGCATGGATCAGTTGGGCCTGGGTCTCCCCCAGCCTTCGGGGGAGTTTGGACGTGGGCGGATGGTTTGGGCTGATGCCACACGCACTAGGCGGCCGCTGACCGTGTCTCCTTCCCTCTTGCAGGTCATTGTGCAGAGGTCTCTCTCGGCTAAGAACCTGAGTCACGCCAAAGCCGGCTCCATCCTGGCGAGCTATTTGAAAATGCTGCCGCTGGGACTTATCATCATGCCAGGGATGATCAGCCGGGTTCTCTATCCAGGTGAGGTACAGACACAGCAAAGGGGAAAGGCCGGCAGGGTGTCGGGATTTGCGTGTGGTGCCGAAGGGCCGTGTGAGCCACATGGCACGGAGCCTGCAAGCAGGGTGTTCTCCAAAAGGCCTGGGATTTGGCTCAAAAATTCTCCTTTTCCTCCCCTGGGCTGGGCCTGCTCTCCCGGAGCCCAGGGGAGGGGTGGCTGCCTTGCAGGGGCGGTGGAGGCACCCAGCTAGTGAAATGCCCTGTGCTGCGGCTGGAGCGTCTTGTTGAGCTGGAGACGGGCTGTTTGGCTCCCGATGGGTGGGGGGAGTGGTGGCTCAGGGCTGAATTTCAGGGCTCAAAGAGCGTTTGCCCCCAAATGGCACAGGCTTTGCAAGATCATCTGTTTTCAGCATGGCCGGTGGGTGAAGGTAAGGTTGGGGGAGGCAAGTCCCCGGCCCCGCCTCCTCTGCCCAGGCCCCGCCTCCACGGGAGCCAAGGCCCTCTCTCCCAGCACCAGAGAGGTGGTCAGAGCACAGGGAGGGCGGGTGGTGCATGGCCCCAGCCTCCCTACCCTTGGAGCACGGAGAGGGCAGGTACTCAGGGAGCACCACGGTGTAACTCTCCAATTAACGACCCTGTGGATTCTGGGCCTCTCCGCCTTACATGAGGGATTAATTAGGCTTTATCGCGTCTTATTGGTTGCGAAGGGCTGGGTGCGGTTTCTCTTTGTGCTCCTCCTAAGGAGGGCAGCATGTGACTCACAGGTGGCTGTCCTTAAACAGTCTGGAGGAAGCTCTTGCAAGAACACAAACCTACTGGGCCAGTTTGTAGCACTGAGCCGGGCCAGAGCAGACTGCTTTACAGCAGGGCCGGGACAGCTGGCTTTTCCGCAGCCTCTGATTTTTTTCTCCAAGGAGGAGTAAAAGAGCATTGGCGGTCAGCTTAGCATCACCCTCGCAGGGAAGGGAGGGCAAACCTGTCTTGGGTCTAGGCTGGTAAATGTCATTCCCAGTGCTTTTTTTGTGATGGTACTGCCTGCGTGTCTTAAAAGGGGCCACGTCTCTTAAAAGGGCAATGTTGGCCCCCTCCCCCTTTTTTTTTTTTTTACTCAGCCCATGGCCTTTTTGTTTGCAGCCCACATTGTGGTTTGGGCTTATGCGGGGTTCAACACGCGGGTTTGTGGATGGGAGCCAGAACAAAAAAGGAGTCAATATAAGAGTCTTCTGTTGATATGCGTGTTCATAGTTAAATTCCTGGACTGTCAGGGTATGTCTACACTACCCCCCTAGTTCGAACTAGGGGGGTAATGTATGCATACCGAACTTGCTAATGAAGCCTCATGGAACGAGGTGTCTCCTGTCCCCCCTCCATCTCCTCTTTTCTAAGCTGAAAAGTCCCAGTCTCTTTAGCCTCTCTTCATATGGGACCTGTTCCCAACCCCTGATCATTTTAGTTGCCCTCCCCTCTCCCAGCCTCTCTGGGTATGTCTACACTACCCCCCTAGTTCGAACTAGGGGGGTAGTGTAGACATACCTTCATTGCTTATTAAAAGTGCTGTCATATGGGTGGACATCGGGTAAATATTGCAGAACTGACTTAATGGGGCCTGCGTGTTGTGTAGTCTTGCCTTAATCTTTGTATTCATGCCCATCAGTATGAAAGAAGCTATTTGCATATATTTGCATATATATTTGCATGTATATGCAACCACACTTAAGTTGTGGCCCTCGGCATGTGCTGTGAGTATCATTGTGGTCTCCGGAGCTTCCAAGGTGGAGTCGCCTGGCCCTACGGGCACAGTTTGGAGCTCCGTTGAGGGTGGGCTTGGGAGATTTCAGTTTGTGCCAGGGCGGATAAGGCTACAACCTGCCCCGGACTCGTTTCTGGGCCTTTGGAGAAGGAAATGCAGCCAGTGCTCTGGGGCGAAGCAGCAACCGGATGCTAAAAGGCTGGGTGTGTCCTGGCACAGCCACACCTTGCAGGACCAGCTCTGCCCGGCAGGTAAAGCCCAGCCCCATGCCCGATGGGGGGTGCGGCCGGGTTCTCCAAGCACGCCGCCGTGCCTGTTTCAGGGCGCTGTCGCCGGGCCCCTCTGAGTCATTCCGGGGCCGGGCGCTCTTCTCTTGGATGCTCAGCGTTTGTTTGGATCAGGCGCTAAGTGTCAGGCCGGGGAGGGACACGCCTGCATGCGCCAACCTGAACGTCATGCCGCTGCCCTGCTGTCTGTTGCTGAAAGGGCCTTTTGCTGGAGCTTGAAATCCAGCTGGGTGAAAAGAGCTGGAGGGGTGAGAGGAGGGGGCGGGTTTCGGCTCTGCTCCCAGATGCCCCTTTGCTCCCCTCTGGGGCTGCGTCTGTGCAGCAGCTGGCGGGGGAGCCCCCAGCTGGGGCAGACGTAGGTGCCCTGGCTGTGATGGAGACAGCGTGCTAGGAACGGCAGTGCTGCCACCTCAGTGCGTACATAGGGTCCCGGGAAGAGCAGCGTCAGGGCAGGCCCTAGGGGTGGGCCATGGTGCTGGGGTCTGGACAGGAGCAGGGAGGGCCTGGGATGTGAGGCTGCCAAAGGGAGCTCAGAGCAAAAGGGGAGAGGCCAGGGGGCCACTGCCTGTGGGGAGGAGCCAGGGGAGGCAGCAGGAGTCAGGGAGCAATGGGTGGGGGGAGCAGGGAAGCAGCATAAGGCTCAGGACAATGGGCGGGGGGTCAGGGGAGGCAGCGGAGGACCCAGGGCAATGGGTAGGGGGCCAGGGGAGGCAGTGGA